TTTTTTAATTTATACACGTGAGATCCTGGCGAAGGTAAAGAAGACGCGAGAGTACTCGCGAATCGTGCGGCCCGAGCTTGGAGACCGGTGAGGCCCGGTGGCCTTGGATGCCCACGGGTTGCATGTAGGACAGACAGACAGACAGACAGACAGACAGACAGACAGTACGGACTGGACCGCTAACAGAGAGGCTGTATGGCGTCTCTGATTGCCCATTGTCCGACTAATAAGATATTCTATCATCTCTCGTCGTGCCGACGGTATCCGACCGTTTGGTGAGACAGAGCGAGAGCGCTCTCGTCCAATCGCCGACGAGATTCATCGGGGTACGGCCAATGACGGCCGCGCTTGGCCTCTCCGGGCCCTTTTGTCGGGCAAATGAGCTCTCGGCGTAAGTCAACCGATAAATAATATCCGACTTTGCGCGCGACCAGCTGCGAGCTTTAATGCGGGCCCGTGTAAAAATGTAATAGGGGCTTAATTGAACCCACCCGGGATATCCATCGTATACGTGTATGCGTAGGTAGCCCCATCGGTATTTATATATTCGCCAGAGCGCTTATATAATTTATATTTGATACGCGCTTTTCTCTTGTGTGCTTTATTCTTCTAAATTAAATTTCAAACTCGGAATTAGATTTCGAACGAGATATTTGGTAATCTTATCGCTTGCTTTTTAGTAAGACATATCCTTGAATATTATTTTATTTATAAACTTAATTATCGCTGCGATTATTACTATTATTAATATCGGTGGAAATTCACGGATGCTTTTTCGTTGTATAATAATTGATGGAATGTCTATAAAGGAACGTGGCGCGCGACGTTGTGACAGATGGTTTCCCTCGAGATCTTATTCCGCGCATATTCAAGCAGGAATAACTAACGACGATCTCTCGTCTTTCGGTACTTCGTTCCGGCTCCGGACTGGCTATCGGATCCATTTCCGTCCGGAATATTTGACTTACATACGGCGTAATGTCTGGTCAACGCGAAATAAATGCAAATTTCTCTGGCAACCGTCTCCGCGCGTTCTAATCGTATCCAGAATGGACCGCGCGCTTTTCAAACGTCCGCATTTCTCAGCCATTCTACCGAGTATCGATCTAATCTATTATCCGTATTTCCGTGAAGCATAAAAAAAGAAAAGAAAAAACTGAGCACCCTCGCTCGTTCGGCGTTTACCGGTGCGCGTTACGCGAATCTCCTCGAAAATGTCGTGGATTCCCGCAGCGATCTCCGCAACAAACTCCAGGTCGATTCTCCCTCTGGAAGTCGACGTCTCGATTTGTCACATTAACAAAGTGAACCCGTCCCCGAATCGAAAGCCATTTTCTCCCGTTCGGCTCGTCCGCAGAAAATCCCGCTCGCTCGCAAACGGGAAAGAAGGGTTGCTGCCACGCTTATCGAGGAAAAACTCACTCGAGTTGCGGATTCGGGGCGTAAAGGCGGAGGAGAAAGAAAGGACCGAATCGACGAAACGTCGAATTGAGTACCGCCCTAATCGTGTCGAGATCTCGTCCTATGGTGTGACGCGCGCGCGAGTATATGGCGTACTTAGTCGAGAGTGCGAGGGAGAAAGAGAGAGAGAGAAGAGACGTTGCGTGGCCGATCGAGGGACGTCCGGAGTGAATGAGAATCATGATGGTGGCGGGCGAAGGGTAGGAGGCCGAGGAGGGGGCGGCAGGGGGGAGGCAGGGGGAGACTGCTGACTAAGTCGGAGAGAGTCGATCGAGCGTGGGTTGCGGGGCAGGCTAATGCGAATATGCTGTCGTCCAGATAGAAAGAGATACCCGATAGCGAATCTGTGTCCGACACGGATGTCGAATTAGCTTGGATTTAGGTTGCCCGGGGAACTGACAAATAGTTATTGCTTGATTAGGTGCCGGTACTAGAGGCAGTTACCCTACCGGCGCGGGACGATGGCCCTTTCCGGCTCCGTCGACGAGCCATTTTTGTCGGAGCTCGGAAAGAGGGTGGCTTTATCCTCCTTTCTTTATCGTCTACTAAATCTTTTGTAGAAACGTTCCGCGGAGAGTGTGATTTTTCCAGATCAATGATAACGATATAATTGCCTGATTATTTCGCGCTATTTACGCTTTCAATCGCGAGATTTATTCCAACCTACGATATAATCGAATAGATCGCTTTATATCGATATTAATAATGCGAGTTTGGGGCAAAAATCATTTCTTTTCATATATTATTCGATCCACATTTTGAAAATGGGACGGTCTTTTTGCTCATACTCATCTGAGCATAATTTTCACGATGATTTTGGTATAGAAAAAATCGTCGCGCTTGAAAGCGAAAGGTACGATGCACGTCGTCAAATTTATATGTTAATGAAGGAATAACAACTAGTCAGGAGATGACGCGAAATCGAATTTGATAGCTAATTCTGTGAGTTCTGATAATCGTTATTACTTTCGAAGACGATTGCACGATAATAACTTTTATTTAAATAAAACTTTCCTTATCTAAAAAAAAAAAATGTACCTTTTTTCCAGTTATCTTTTTTAAATTTGACACTCGGTGCCGTTTCTTTTTTGAACAATATTACGTTGCTGATTCACGCCACGATTCGTCATTTGCTCTTATCGTACTGATGGCGAATGTGTGTTAATGCGACTGACGATTGAAATTAGGATGGTAATAGGCAGTAACGCCGGGGCGCGCTAGAATCAATGGGATTATAAATTTAAATCACGAGTCATATAGAAATTAATTACAAATTACATTTGAAATATTGTCCCGGCGACTAAATCAATTTATAATTACTCGCGGTGCTCGCATTCGGCATTAATTAGCAAACTTATTATCCGTCAACGTTGGTGAATCCGAACGATCGTGCGTTCTCTAAACGCATCTAGTTATCAGTCATAAACAAAGACAGGAAAGTGAGAAGAATAGATATAGATGAAATGTCGTGGCTTGCAAAAGCGTGAAATTAGATTTCTAAATGAAAATTCTCGAAGGCGTGATGTGCTAATTAAGTACACTACCATATTTCGCGCAAACTAAGATGTCTCTTTTACGAGAGCTCATTTTCGCGACGGCTAGACCTCAATTATTCCCGACATCGAACACAGAGCTATTCCACCGGCACTCTTTAATAAGGACTTTTGCTTTACGAGATTTTATACGGTACACGACGAGCTCATTATCTTAATTAAATCTACTACAGGAATTACAACTCTCTGAGTAAGAACTAGAATTACTTCAAAATTCATGTACACATGGATGAGCTTGCGCGCGCGGGAGTCTGGTTTTAAAAAATTTACAGGCTTATGACAATAAATAAATCGAGGAACGAACGTATTCAAGTATCGGGAAATATCGTATATTCTAATTAAAAATGAATGAAACAGCTGATCGGACTATGTATCACACTTTACTTTCTCTCATACTTCTCTCGCATATCCCTTTGCATTTTGTATATTGTCCCAAAATTGTTGCGCATCGATCCCGCACCGTTATGGACAAATCGCGGAGCAATCGCTGCCGTAAACCGCGTTTATTATCGTAAACTCGATTTTTCATGACCTCCCGCCAATCGATACAACGGTTCCTCGCAGACCGCGATATGGTTGTACACGTACGATCCATTCCTCACGGTACGCCACTGTTTCGGAAAGGCTTGTAATAGAGGCCGACTTATAATAGGATTGCCCCCTGCTCCCCTCTCCTCGCCTCTCTCTCCCTCCGTACATTTTCGATCGCGCCAAACGTGATTTTTTTTTCTTTTTTTTTCCATCGATCACTTAAAGTTAAAGAGCTCATTTCCAACTGCCTACACCCTGTGTGAAAAATTAACCGACGATAGATCGGAAATATTGCATATTCAAAACACTGGGGAAAAGCTCCTTCGAAGGAGAAACCCGAGAGAATGATAATTATCCTCGAACGGAGAATCACGAATAGTTTGAGACGACTATATAAATGAAGGGGAAATAAATTTTGTGCGCGAGGCCGAGACAGCGCGCTGTAAATTTTTCACGGACAATATTTCCCGCTCCGGCCATCGCGGCTCCATACATAAACCGGACAGAATCGGTCTTTCAAGTTTAACCGGAAATAAATCCTGCGAACATAAGTGCTCCTATTTCTCGGTCCATACTTTGTTTCGCGCGAGCGCGTGTCTCTATATTATATCTCGAGCGCTAACGTCCGAATTTTCTCTTCCCGTTTCGAGAGTCCCCCGAACCGGGATAATCGGATAAATAAGACACGCGTGCCACGTGATTAGAAGACACGTAACCACGTAACCTTACGCGAGATTACGTGTATCTTGCGATGTATCCTAGAGATACATCGATGCTAACGAGGATTTGCGGCAATCGGAGGCCACAATTGTGGCGATTATCTGCAAATTCCGGAAATATCTAGCCATCGCGGTTCGACCGATTCCTATTCTCTCCCGTCGCGACGATTCCACATTTGCGGTCGTCGCCGTTAAAGGAAAGCGTCCGGAATATTCAGACCTTAACGAATTGATTTAATGATGCATCATCGCGAAAGCATGCTGTTATGCAAGTACTCGAATTTGACAGATCTTAATCCCTTAATATGTAAATCTAATCGCGAGACGAGAAAGAAATATAAGCGAGCGAAACTGAAATTTATGATTTTATATGCATTCGTTCTTTTTCATCGATTAAGCTTTTCTCGCCATCAATCTCTTAAAGAATCATGTGATAAATAATAATTTGCCACTATACCATGAAAAGCTATTAAGTCGAACCGGTGACCAATTACGAGATTTATGCTAGTCTTATTTATATGCCGTTGCTTGTCACAGTAGCTGGC